AACAAGATTAACAACAGCAGCATACAACGTACATCAACGTCATCAACAACGACAGCAAAAACAACAACAACAACAACAACATCAACGACAATAACAACGACAACAGAAAAACATGCCCTTAGGCTAACTATCTAGAAATTGCTGAAGCAGTTCCCGTTTCAGTTTAATTTTAAAGCTTGGAATAGATTTGCAAAGTTTTAAGTTAGGGTTAATGTTGTTCCAGAGAGTGACAGTTCTGTAATGGAATGTTCTTTGTCCTGCAGTTGATCTGTATAACGGAACGTCCAGCTGTTTAGTATTTCTAGTATCGCGACCACTCACTTCACCTCTCGTTTTGAACTGAGACGATAAGTAGGCAGGTGCGCAATCATTCATGCATTTGAAAGCTAATAAAGCATCGCGACTGTACAGATGTGACTTCACGGGAAACCAGCGCAGTTCCTTAAGTATCTGGGTGATGTGGTCAAATTTCCTTCTGTTGCTCACTACTCGTGCTGCGAAGTTCTGGACTCCTTGAAGTCGGGATAGGTTGCTGCAGGAAGTATTTGACCAAAGAGAGGAACAATAGTAGAGTTTGCTAAATACTAAGGCGTTGATGACAGTTATTAAAAAGTTTTTAGGGAAGACATGCTTAGCGCGATTTATCTGGCAGAGACTTGACTTGCAGGATAAAAACGTAGAAAGGATATGATTGTCGAAGGAGAGGATTGGATCAAACTTAACTCCGAGATCTTTCACTGATGAAGCAGGTGTTAGTTTCTTACCAAGTAGCGAGAGTCTAAAATCAGGTAACTTCGCGAGCATTTGGCGGCTTCCGTAGACCATCAATTTAGTTTTGTCTGGATTCAGCAAGAGCAGGTTATCAAAACACCAGTTTCGCATTCTAATCAAATCCTCGTTTAGATCAGTCAGCGCAATGTTCGAGTCATCAATTCGGAAGGACAGAAGGAGTTTGGTGTCATCAACATACGATTCTGATGAACAATTTTTGGCGACTGACGGCAAATCATTCACATAAATACTGAAAAGTAACGGGCCCAGAATACTTCCCTGTGGGACACCGCTAACAACTGGCAATTTCTCAGATAGAGCAGAGTTGATACGTACTGCTTGGTATCTCTCGCTGAGGTAACTTTTAAACCAACCCAGGCATCTAGACGAGACACCAACGTCCTCCAATTTAGCAAGCAGTATATTATGGTTAATGCTGTCAAAAGCTTTGCTCATGTCCAAAAGAATAACTGCTGTTACTTTCTTCTGGTCAATTGCTTTTAGAATAGAGTCGGTGGAATGAATAAGGGAGGTTTCCGTTGAATGCCAGGTTTTGTTGCCACTTTGATGCACAGAGAGACGGTGATTGGTGGTTGGGTAAGACGTCAGTTGGTGGAGTGCTACATGCTCACATACTTTTGAAAGAACTGGTAATAGGGAAATGGGTCGGTTATTGTTCGCCAGCTCATGATCACCTTCTTTTGGAATGGGAATTACTTCCGCGATTTTCCAAGTATTCAGGAATATATTGTTCGCCAGAGAGTTGTTTATGATTGAGGTTATCCATGGCGAAATAACGGGTAAACAGTCCTTAATGACACAGATCGGTATTTTGTCGATTCCTGGAGCTTTGTTATCTGGTATTGATTTCACAATATATTCCACTAGGGAGCATTCTACGGGTTCGAAGGTGAACTGTTCTGACTCAGTATAACTTCGCGGGACAAATGGTAACTGAGATGGAGTGTAATTGTTTTCTTTAGCTAGTGATTTGATTTTCGTGACAGTATTTGAACCAACTGATGTAAAGAACTGGTTGAAGTTATTCGCCACGGATTTATCGTCACTGCTGAAGCATTTTTTCCCGGTAGATAATGATGAGCTTCATTGCATCTACGAAGTGTATAAGATCTTTCTTCCAGATATACCTATATGGAAATGTCAAAAGCCTTCGACAAAGTTAACCATGAAACCCTACTCAATAAGCTAAACAACTGCTTCAACATTTCTGGTAACTTGCGCTGTTGGTTCAAAACCTACTTGTTAGACCATAGGCAACGCGTTACTGTGCTAGGCGCCACCTCCTCTGAAAAACTTGTACTGTCAGGAGTACCACAGGGTTCAATTTTTAGGCCCTATACTTTTCCTCCTCTACGTGAACGACCTTCCAGATGCTGTAAAGAACTCCAAGGTTTCATATTTCGCAGATGACACTAAGGTATTTAAGTGCATTGACTCCATCTCGGATGCTACAATCCTAGCAAAAATTATTGTGGACACCGCGTGCTTCAAACAAAAATAGATGTATTTCTACAGAATTAATCCCCAGAAAATTTCTCCCCCTCCTTCCCCCAATTCAATGTTGGTAAATGAAACTTTTCAAATTTAAATGCGTGAAACAACATTGAATAGGGGGTAGGGGGCGACAAATTTCATGAAAGAACGTGTCAATCTTAATATTGGCGTTAGAAAAGTTAGGTGTCCACATAATTTTTGCCAGGATTGTCTGAAAATAACCTGAAAAAAATATCGATAATTTTCACCCAAAGCAGGCGTCTTACTATAAATTTTTGATGTTGCCATTGCTTTAGGATAACAAACAGATTGTTCAAACTGGTTTATTTTTTTTTAAAGCATATTTATAATTTTGTGGGTGAGAAGCTTTTGGCCATGATATATGCTTCACTGAACTAATTATGCAGACGCAGTAACACAAGTTTTCAACAAAAATATTTAATTTGCATTACCAAATTCACGCCAAATATAACAGACTATAGGGTTATTTTAGTGTATACGCATCCGCAACGCTCACTATTTTCAGATTTTTTATAACAAACGCAGCCCAACAGCGACTGTAGAGCGTCTCTAATCTAACAGTGACGTCACACGGTACACGGCTGTGTAGCGTATAGTAAAGGATACATAGCTTAAATATTTTAATCACCACGCTACACAGCCGTGTACCGTGTGACATCACTGTTAGATTAAAGGCGCTCTACAGTCACTGTTGGGCTGCATTTGTTATAAAAAATCTGAAAATAGTGAGCACTTCGGATGCGTACACACTGAAATAACCCTATAGTCTGTTATATTTAGTGTGAATTTGGTTACGCCACATTGCCGTGTACAGTATCAATTTACTAAACATTCAAAATAACATTACTTACACATTTATACAGTTTTATACAGTTTATTGTATAAATGCTGCAAATGCTCCATGCTGCAAACTCATGGCAAAATGTTGCAGGCTAACAAAGGTCTGCATTTTGAAATGCATGTATTACCAATAAATCAATAATGCGAATGATTCACACTCAGGAACTAAAGATAGATCTGCTTGCCTGTAAGTTATGTGAGGTAAACAAACCTCGCATTTTTTGGCTTAAAATTTTGCACTCAGGTTTGACTAAGTACTAAGACATCGTCGTTCTTTACAATGTTCAATAATTTGTTATACGAAAATATTCCTTTGTAGAGTTGCAGACTAAGTTGTGATTGTATAAATTCAGATAATACGTAAAAAGCCACTTGACATGTAATGTGATAGGTGACACTTGACATAGATCGGAGGGTAAAAGAAACTAAATATAACCTGATTTACTGATTGTTTGCCTGTTTTGCTAAACAAACAAGGCCTATTTTCTCATTGGATTGAGCTTTAAATTCATGAAATCGGACGGTTTGAAATATGTGATAATTTCAGACAATCCTGGCAAAAATTATTGTGGACACCGCATGCTTCAAACAAAAATAGATGTATTTCTACAGAATTAATCCCCAGAAAATTTCTCCCCCTCCATCCCCCAATTCAATGTTGGTAAATGAAACTTTTCAAATTTGTAGCTTTGCTTCAGAGTGATCTGAATAGTCTAGGCAATTGGTCAACTAATTCGGGCTTGTATTTAATCAAGACAAGTGTAAGCTGCAGCAAATTACCAGGAAAAAGAACCTGATCAACTTCTCCTACGAGATAAATAACAAATTACTGGAAATTTCATCGGAAGAGAAAGACCTGGGTATTTGGGTTACTGGTGCGCTTACCTGGTCAAAACACACCTTTGACCGTTGTGCAAAGGCTAACAAGTTGCTTGGCTTCCTGCGCAGATCTGCTGTGGAAGTCAGAAATTCAAACACCCGCTGAACACTCTACCTGGCAATTGTGCGTCCTGCATTAGGCTACGCCACACAAGTCTGGTCACCGCAGTCAATTGAACTAGTCAGAAAGACAGAGCGTGTTCAACACCGAGCTTCAAAATTTATCCTTAAGCTGCCCTTCACATGTACAGAATCCTACAAAGACAGACTGATATCTATAAATCTGTTACCAGTCTCTTATTGGCACAAGTATCTTGACTTGATGTTCTTTTTTAAGGCCAAAAATGGTATTATAACTGTTCTGAAGGAAATCTTGCCAAAACGATCTATTCCCTCAAGGTCTACTCGATCATCTTCAAATAACAGTGTTATCTTGTACCGTCCTCGTAGATGTAAGACAGCCACCTATCAACGGCCATTTTTTATTAGAGCAACTAGAACCTGGAACTCCTTACCGGAACACTTAAGACTAGATAATTTATCTCTAACGTTATTTAAAAAGTCACTATTAGAATACTACCATAATGCCCTTGTATCTTGTTACAATGTGGATGATGCTCGAACATGGAAAACTGTTTGCCTGAAGTGCAACACATTGTGCAATCTAATCGATGCCGATCCCTGTTGCTACTAGACTAATTAGTTGGGTTTTTTCCGTCTGTAATTTGTCAATAATTTTAACTAAAGGGCCCACAGTAATTGGTGTAAACTGTTGTGGTGTCCCCGCCTCTTGTTATGTTTCGTGTATATGAATTGTTGTACTTGTATAGTGTACGTTTTTTAATAAATAAATAAATACCATTATCAAGTATACCTCTCATGTACGACAAGTACGCTTCAGTGGTGTTTGCGGGTGAACATTATGCTTCTAGTTTTTTGCATCTCAATTGTGTTGTGTACATTGTGGCAAAGTTGGCTGGACGACATGATGGTAGTGTCGATTTGGAAGCCCTTAATCACAGGCCAGACATGACCGAATATTTCATTCGACAGTGCATTAGCTATCGTGGCAACCTCTATCTGTTCTGTTTCGCATACATGCGCTGGTTTCAGTATCATCCTCAACAGTTTCATTGTGGCAATGACGGTGTTACGCCAGAGATTTGATCATGCCCCTTGAAGACAGGGATTTTATGCAGTTTATAAAGCTGCTCTTTAGCCACTTATTTGAATGATGGTAACACGTAAATACGATCATGACTTGTGTCTTTCCAAATGGCTGACATTGGCCATAACTAACTGCATGTGGTTAAGAATAAACATTCATTATTTATAGCTGAACATTCTATTTCAACCGTATCATAACCAGCCATGGTGGTATCCATTGCTTAAAAAATGTTTTATCTTTATTTTGTGCGTAGCAATGAGATACCGATATAGCGAGACCATAAATTAGGCTATGTGTAAATTTACGATACACTTGAACTGAAAACAGCCTTTTACTGTATATATTGTTAATCAGGCTGTGTGCACATGCACCTTAACACTTCTCAGCATTTTCAATTTGTCTGAGAATCAATGTCAGTTTACCCCAAATGATTTATCGTGTATGATTTGCATGTTAAGTAATCGAATAAGCATGCGTAAAATGACTGCATTTCAAATTTCACGACAAACTAAATAAAGCAGAATTGTGGTGTTGACAGCAATTAACATATGCCAAAATACAAATCATACAGGATAAATCTTCGTTTGTAAACCAATCCTTAAGTGACCTAAGGATATACAAGCTCAACATATATACGATCTTGTTTTAGCCCAAGCTGTTCCTTTTCATTATAATAATAATAATATTTTATTTTCCAAATAAGTTTACAATACATTTTGTAAGTTATATATATTTATGTACTAGTTTACATTATACATATTTGGACAGAGGACCATAATAAACCAAAAGGCTTTTGCGAGTATAGCCCCTGTGACAAAATATTTAACACTAAAATTAATAAGTTCTCTATCAGGTAATTTTTTGTCAGTTTATCTAGATCTAGAGTACATACTAGCTATTACTATATAGAATTATTAGTTAATTACATAAATATATATTGTACTCTTTTCTGGAAAGAATAATTTCCGTAATCTACTGTATATGTTATCTTATAATATGTTACCGTTATATATATATTGTGTTTTATAGCTTGTCTTGAGATAATAATAGATGCATTTTCATTTCCTTTTTGAATTTCGTTTTGGTACTTGAATCTCTTATTTTTTTTGGAATTTTGTTCCAAATTTCTGTTCCTTTATTTTTTACTGAAAATTTTCCATAATTTGTTCGAATTCGTTTTTTGTGGATTAAATTGGATTTTCGTGTGTTGTGCTTGTGAACTTTGTTATTCAAGATGAAATAATTGTCAAAAAAAGCAGGTAAATATCCTTTTATATAGTCAAACATAAAAAGGCCAATGCATAGGTTATTAAGTTGATTAAGATTTAACATTTTAGATTTTTTGAAGAGAGGAGCGGATTCTGCATAATATGAACTAGATGTAATAATCCTAACAGTTAGTTTTTGTAGTTTAACAAGTTTTTTTAGCTTTGAGGAATAGTTATTTGCCCAAACTATATTACCATAATACAATTAGGGGTATATAAGTGTATTATATAATGTAGTAAGGGTATCTATTTTTAGAAAGTATCGTGTTTTGCTGAGTATACCAGTTGACTTAGCAACTTTGTTAGCTATATAGTTTATGTGATCATTCCAGGTTAAGTGTTGGTCAATTATCATTCCTAAAAATTTTGTTTTCACAACATGGACAAGTTGATCATTTTCTACTGTTATTTTTACATCATATTTAATTTGTTTTTTCTTCGATTTAAATATTATATAATTTGTCTTTTTTATATTTAAAGTTAGCTGATTGACTTTAAACCATTCAAATATTTTCTTAATTTCATTGTTTACAACTAATTCTAGTTGTTTAATATTTTTCCCAGAGTAAAAGAGATTTGTGTCATCTGCAAAGACTATAAACGAGGTCAAATTACTTGAGTTAAATATATCATTTATATATAGTAAAAATAATAACAATCCTAAAACTGGACCCTGTGGAACCCCACAGTTAATTTTTGCTTTTTCCGATAATACCTTATTATATTTTACAATCTGTTCTCGATCTGTTAAATAGCTTTGAAACCATTTCCTCAATATCCCCCTTGTTCCATAAGACTCTAATTTTTGTAACCGAATATTATGATTTACAGTGTCAAATGCTTTTGACAGGTCCAGAAATATTCCTATTGTAAATTCATTGTTTTCAATTGTTCTTTTTATTTTTTCAGTTAAATGTATAATTGCCATCGTGTTTGATCGATTACGTCTAAATCCATATTGATTATTATGCAAAATATGATTTTTTTCAATGTAATTCATAAGCCTTACTGATATTGGTCGATAGTTGTTGAATTCTTCGTTACTTCCAGCTTTAAAGATGGGTGTTATTAGAGATATTTTTAGTCCTTTGGGAATGATCCCTGTTTTAAATGTTAAATTAAATATATGGCAAAGCACAGTACTAATCTGGGGAGCTATTTCTTTAATTACTCTTGGATGAATCTCATCATAACCATGACTTTTATTTGGTTTTAGTTGACGCATTATTTCTAACACTTCTGATGTTTTAATTTCAGTTATAAACACCGAATTTACATAGTTTGTATTTAAATATTTCTTAAAATCATTTGAATTTTTGTCGAACTGTTTTGCTAGATTTGGGCCAATATTACTGAAAAATTCATTAAAATTGTTGGCAATTTCTTTAGGATTATTTATGTACTTGTTATTACATAGAAATGATGTTGGAAGCTGTGATCTGTGGGGTTTTTTCTTTATTAATTCTTTTATTGTATCCCATGTTTTTTTTAATGTCATTTTTACATTTCTTAAATTTTTTATCAAAGTAATTCTTCTTAGCTATTCTGACTATATGAGTTAACTTATTTCTATAAATTTTGTATTTAGCTTAATTTCTTTTGCTTGGAGTTTTTAGGAAATTTTTATAGTTTTTTTTTTATTTTGCGATGCCTTGGGTAATCCATGGGTTATGATTTATTATAATTCTTGTGGTTTTTATATGTCTCAGAGGGAAATGTTTATTGTATTTATCTGTGAATGCTTTTTTAAAAGTGTTATACGATTCATTTGGTTTATGTATGTCAATTACATGTTGCCAGTTTTCACTCTCAATATCCTCTCTAAATTGTCGTATGTGGTTTTCATTTATGTGTCTAATCATATTTGTCTGGTCTTTGACTTGCCATTGGTGTTGGTTTCCTTATTTTTACATATTAAAAATACCGGTAAATGATCAGATAAGTCGTTAAAATGTATGCCACTCATATGTACCATTATTTTCTATGTTGGTGAATATGTTGTCTATTAGTGTTGCTGTTTTTCTGGTGATGCGAGTTGGTTTTAATATAGTAGGTAGAAACATTGATGACATCATCTGGTTTAAAAATCTTGCTGAGTACTCACACTTTTCATGTTTCAAAAGGTCAATATTAAAATCTCCTAATATATAACAGGATTTCGACTCACTATCTATTTTACTTACGGCTGCTTCAATTTTTTCTTCAAAATCATTGTACATATTATTTGGCGGGCGGTAAATTAATCCTAGTATTATATTTTTTCCTTTCCGATTTAACAATTCTACAAAAATACTTTCAACGTTGCTTGAGTTACATTCATTAGTTATATCGTTTCGAATTTTAGCTTCCATGTCTTGTTTAACTCAGTCCCATCCGGTCGAAAAGTAGCAATTTCGAGGGGTGTTGTTTCAAACGCTTATCTCTCTCAAACTATACATCGCACAGAAACAGAAATTGCATCGTTTGAAAGAAGAGGACTTCTGCTTTCCAACGATACCAATTCCAATTTCATCCGGAGCTTGGTTAACGATTTACTCGCATAACTTTGCATAAATTATGATATAAAAAAAATATTGCAATTATGCATAAATGTATTTAGCGGTTCAAATTTCAAATATGTCAAAAAAAATTATGAATATGACTAAAAGACACGGTTATGATCTACAAATACCCAAAGTTTCATGCATGTAGCATAAATAGAAATATTTTTATTGAATTTTTATATAAACTAGGTAGTGGAGTAAAATTTACATTTTGTGCTCACATGAAACAAATACCTTCATCAAAGGTCCTTTTTTATTGCTGCAACATGTTATCAATACAAATTTCCAATCTTTCTTACTCTCCAAGGATAGTATGCCACCAAAATAAGTCTGTGATACCCACAAAAGAACACTCAAATCATGATTAGCAAAATGTCTTTATTTCTACAGTTACTACATACATTCTTAGATAATCATTTACACCATTGACTTTAGTTATTAGTGGCATAACCAGCCTCAAAATTTGGTCATGCTATTCAAATTTGAAATAATCACTACTCGTTTGTTTAGAAATTGATTGTTTTCACAATCTAGAACGTGAAATATTTGCAAATAGCATGACCAAGTGTTGTTGGGCTGGCATCATTATAATTAGTAGTTGTAAAAAAGTAATGTTTTCCAAGGCAGTAATGTTTGCCAAAGCACATAATTGGATTATGTGGTGAAAATATTTCCTTTATATTGTACTACAAAAGACCTAAGACTGTAACAATCTATCTCCGGAAGACTAAAGAAGCAAGGGCAATCAAAATCAATGATAATCACGACTTGGAGACCTTAATGAATGAACAGGGACGTAGGGACTAATCCTTTCAATTCAACAGCTAAGTGGAATTTTGATGTAATTGGTGTTACAGAAACTAGAATTAAGCAAGACGTTTTTATTGATTTTAATCCCTCAATGCCAAATTACAACTTTGAATTTGTACATACACCATTAGCTGCTGGAGGAGTAGGCATGTATATTAATAGTAGTGCGAAGTATAAAATACTTGAGAAAAGCTCTAATGAATATTATCAGGCACTATGGATCGAAATTCAATCACCGAAGAATGCAAACATAATATGTGGTGTTATTTACAGGCAACACCATTCACCAGAACGTTTCTTAAGCTATTTCGAAGAAACTATTGAAAAAATGAGTGCATCCGGTAAACCCATTTACCTAATGGGCGATTTTAATATCAATCTTCTTCGTTCTGAAACATGTAATCACGCTCAAAATTTTATCCTCTCTATGCAAAGTTTCAGTTTAATGCCTACTATAGACAAACCAACATGCATACATAATGACTCGGCAACACTCATAGATAATATTTTTGTAAGCAAATTAGAAAATAATATTACATCCGGAAATATTGTCTCAGATATAAGTGATCACTACTCTCAGTTTTTTATCACTCATTCGAACGTAAAAGCTAAAACTAATTTTGCAAACAAACATTTAACTCGAGACAATTCAAAGTTTTCAGAATCCAACTTTGTCAATGATCTTTCCTGTACTGGTTTGAATCATGCTGTTGATTTGAGTGAAAATGATATAAACAAATCGTTTTCAACATTTTACAATAAGTTAAATACAGTTATCAAAAACCATGCTCCCCTTAAGAAAATTTCTAAGCGTAAAGCAAAGCAGTTAACAAAACCATGGATAACTATTTACAGACATTCCAACCTCCGAGTCCTGAAAACCGGGACACTCCCAATTTTCCCATTTTACTTAAATAAACGCCTCCCTCGAATAAATGCTGTGCTTTTCTCATTGATCTGGTGTCTATTTGGGTTAGTGTTAAAATTGGCTGAGTTGAGTTTGAATTAATTTAAACAATAAATTCACAGTGGATGCTACAAAAACTAGTTTTATTACACTAACATTGATACAAAACAATGGAAACTCCGAAGAAATTCATATTTTTAATCCAACGTTTTGACTACTGTTGAGCCAGACTGGAAATTTTGGAGAAATTGTCCCGCGCGCGCAATTTGAAGAAATTGTCCCGCGTGTGCAATGTAAATTGTCCCGCGCGCGCAATTTGGAGAATTGTCCAGCGCGCGCGCAATGTAAAGCAATTTTTGGTGCGCTTGTTTGCGCGCGTGGTCCTGGGCTCATGGAGAAATATTTGCACGCGCGCGCGTAATGTTTGAAAAAATTAGCAGGCGTGCAATTTTGTCAATCAAAATCGGCGTTAATCGCGTGACTCGTTAATTAAACAAATTTCTGCGTGCGTATTGCTTTGGGCGTCGTTGTAAAACGATGCTGTTAGTAAAGTGCCTTAGCCAGATGTGATGACTGATAATCAGGTAAATCCTAACAGATTTCCGGCTTTGTCGTTCACTTCTGCCAATGAGCATTAACGATTGGAATCTGGAAACTGGATTGCAATTAGCCACTGTCACGGTTTTGTTTAAAATCCTGCGTGTGTAAGTAAATTGTGTTCGTTGTAACTGACTCTTCTGGCATTCTGCGGTGAATATCGATTGTTGCTTGTGCGATCTAGTGTTAAGTGTTTTAAGATTTTCAACTCGTTGGCCTTATTTGGATTTTTACAGTTTCGTCATTGTTTGAGAATTGAGGTAAGTTGTATTGTATCAATATATTTAGATAGTAACCTCTTTGTTGTTTTAAGTTAAATAGTTAATCAACGTTGCTTCAGGGTTCAACTTTGCGGCTTGCGCAGTTGCGCCTTTGTCAGTACTCGCTACTCGGTATTGAGTCACTGAAACACTCAGTGAATAGTGAATAAATTTAAAAGGCAAAGTCCAAAGATAGTACAAACTTACAAATGACTCTGAAATGAGTATCAAAGCTTAGTTAAATTAAACATTTGAAATTGTCTGTCATGCAACGCAATGTCATTGATTTATATGACTGTAGGCGTGAATGCATGCATCATAGAGATATCTATGCCATGGGCATTGGGCCATGGCGTCTCGTTGCCTTATTTGCCTCAATGTCTTATTACGAGTATGACTGATTGAAATACAGTAACATCTATTTACAACGTGATTATGATAAATGTTTATAAGATGAGTGCCCGTGTTGTATCCGATATACACTATAGTGTACAACAGGGTGAACAGGCTACAGCCGAAGGCAAGAGATTGATTTACATGATACAGGACGGGGACGGTCCCGGACGGGGTATCACTCTGACACTATCTACTGTAAGTTCTGATAATAAATTACTTTTTTTCTTAGATTAGGAATTCTGATTTTTTAATAACAATGGAGAATTTTGTAGAAGGTAAAATTGTAGTAGAAATTATTCTTTTCACGATGTAACTCTGTCAATTTTCGATACAACCCGCGATTGCCGCGAAAAGAATTCAAATATTTTTTCCAACTGTATGAAATTTGTTGTTTTAAAAAGAACATGCTAACCTTGTGCTACCCGAATAAATATTGTAACAATATATTATATATAGAACCTTTTTCCCGTTTGCGCCTTGCCCATTTAGGGTCATTATTTTAGTAGTTTAGGTTTATTGGTGTAAGTTTATTGACCCTAATAAAGATGATTTGAGTAACCTTGGTTTCAGATTTTGCAAGTAGATTTATTTAAATTTATACTTTGTAGTTGAATCCGATCCTATTTGTGTTTCTTGCAATAAGCCGTGTGGGCACCACTCTTGCAAATCTTGCAAGAAACCTTGCCATGCTATTACCTTGTGTTCTCAGTCTTGCGAAGAAGAAGGCTATGGAGCACAAGTGATTTGCAACAGTTGCAGCGATACAAATTCGACGAAAAAAGGCGGAAAAGCGGGGAAAATAATTGAGGAATCAGGTACACAACTTTTGTATATCCAGTTAATTTTAAGGTGGCTCAATACAGTTTTTTAAAAAAATGGAAAATTCGCGATTTAGATGCGTATTTTTGGACAATCATTACTTGTTGATAAACAAAAAGTACCTTGCTTATATAAAACAACATCTAAATAGTTTCAATTTTTACAC